AGGCGGCGGCCGCGGCCCCGAGGGGCGTCCCCAGTCCCGACGGCGCGCCGTCCATGGCACCGCCGAACTTCTTGTAGGTCTCCTCGATGGGGCTCAGGATGTCGGACACGGAGAAGGGCGTCGTGTGCTTTGGGCTCAACGACATGGCTCGGCGGACCGCCAGGTAGGGGGGCCCCGGGCGGGCGCGGGGGGGACGCGGCGGCCGCTCCCCGCCGCCACCTGGGCCGCAGCGCCTGCGCCTGTGACGAGGAGTCGGCGGCGAGCCCCAGAGCTCCGGGATCTGGGGTTTATTTTAGTCCGGCGCCAGGTTTACGACAGACTCGGGGGGCGGAGCAATATCCCGAACGAGCAAACAATGGTCATTGACATCTTTTTCTCTCGCCCCCACCCCCTCCCCGCTTCCCATAATGGAAGCGAAAAAGGTAAAGGGGTCAGTTGGGTGTTTCTAGAAAAGATCGTTCCCCTTTGCTCTCTGCATCCTCCCTGCCTCTATCCCAGGCAGTTACCCCAGCCCTCGAGCACTAGAAATAGAAACTCGAAGACCGGCGTCGAGGCTTGGAGTGAAGGATCCCGCGCTTCTCCCCATCGCGTCCCTGATTTTCCTAAAGTGACTCCGTTACAAAGTCCAATGTAATTGGGAAGGAAGACGTCCTAAGTTGGGAAGGGGGGCTGCAGGGCTCACCTCGCCCTCTTGAGCGACCAGCCCTTCACTCACTCCATCAGTTAAAGTGTTAAAAAAAAAAAAAAAAAAAGGACTCTTGGGTCCCACCATAAGCGCATAAAGAGAAGAGGTACAATGACAGTCCTCTGCCATTGTAGGGCTTCCTAATTTATGCATCTTTAGACCCTTAAGCATCATTTTGTAGGCAACCAAACGGGCACTTCCAAATTAGCTCAAAGTATCCGAATCCAAAGAGGAGAGAAAACACACATAGAGAGACACAAATAGACAGATGCTAATTTGTAAGTATTCTGGTTTTACTCTGTGGGGATAGAGTTGGACAAGGGAAAGGGGATACATTTTTATTTGCTAAAGTGTATCTTGTTCAGTTTGCACCTGTAAAGTTCTTTAATGCTTTCTTTTTCCTTTTTTTTTTCTTCCCTCCCCCTCTCTCTCCTTTCTTTTCTTTTCAAGAAAGTAAATATCCGACTTAGGGTTCATTCTCTTACCACTAACGTGATCAAAAAGAAGAGAAAGAAAAGCAACTCCAAAATATTTCTAGCTGTTTGCGATGGGTCTTTTTTGTTGTTGTCGGACAAATTTAACCTGTTCAAGGAATATGAAATGGATACAGAAATCAGGTGAAAACAGTAGTTTCTCTTGAAAAATACAAAACCATAGATATACCGATTTTTTAGAGTTTGTCATCCTGATTTGGAAATTTACCTGCATAGCAAAGAAAAACTTGGACATTGTGCACTCTCCACCAAATGCTGAACAAAAGAAAGAATAAGACAAAAGAAGTACAAAGCATATTGATTAAATTTTGAAAACAATCTTTCAGTAAAGAAATGGTAACAGGAAACAAAAACAACAATTTTTAGGAAGTTTTCTTGGAGATTGGTGACAGAAGAAAGCGAAACAAGGAGAGTGCTTTCTTAAACAAGACTTTATTGTTTAAAAAAGAAGAAAAGGGTGTGTGAAAAATGAATAAATTTAATCTGACATCGCATGCCTTGAAGACAAGAACAGTATTGCCTATTCCTTTTTCTGTTTAGTTTCAGCCCTTTGGTTGGAATGTCCTCTGTGATTTTACTTTTATTGTCTTGTCCATTTTCATGTTGTTTTGCAAAGAATCTGCCCTATTTTGGGGGAGGGGAAGTGGGAAGCCAGTGTGATGACATTCAAGGAGAGAGTGACAACCAGTCAAGTTTATAGAGTATACTTAAAAATATTAAAAGAATAAAATTCAAAGTTACATGAATTATTTACAGGCATCAGTTATTGACTTAGCCAAACTAGTATTGCTACAGTTTTCACTTGATGCTACTTTTACAGGTCTTTCGTGAACCTGAAACACTTGGGCTAAGTCTTCAGCCTCACCACACTGGAATTGCCTATCTTTCTTTTCTTCTTTTTTTTTTTTTTTAAGTTAAACAACAAAGTGTTTATGTGTGTATTTAAGCCATTGATGTGATCCTTCTAAAAAGTGCAATTTGGCTTTTAAGTTCTTGGTTCAGTTCACATTGTATTGTTTACATGTATGTATTAGCTTAAAAAGAAATAGAAAGTTTTGTATTTCAGGCTTTGCTCAGAGAAAACAGGTAAGTAAAAATAGTTGTGTTATTACATCTATGGATATAAAAATTATTTCTGAATCATTATATTTTCAAGCTCATATTTCAGAAATGAAACCCATTATCATAATCTCCATGTTGATTAGCTGTCCAAACTAAAAAAGTGTTTACAATTACATTTTTCCCTAGATGATTATTTACTCTGTTTTCAGGCTATATAGTTTATTTCATGTAATGTTATCCATAGAAGTTCTGGACAGCAATTCACATTCAGTCATTATACTACACATTATTGTTTATTTTTTAATCGTATTGGGTCCTGCTACTAGTGCATTTCTATCTGGAAGATTCTCATCTTTAAATAAAAGGGCACTTTATCATAGCTGGAGGTTCTCTGCAGAGAGTCATTTTTTTACTGCTTAGGAACTTGGTATGCCAAATAGTACTCCTTCACTGGAGGTAAACAGTTGTGAGAAAAAAAAAAACAAAAAAAACTCCACAATCTTTAACATTTCTCCCTATCAATTATTTATATCTCATTTTAGAAATTACATACCTGTATGCTGGAAACACTGTGTGAATGTGTGCAGATGGTACTGAAAATAGGTATAGTCTGGAGGATGTATATTTATATACAGACATAAATTAAAATAATTAATATTCCATTGATGCTTTTAATCAGATTCATTTCATCAGATTATTGTCTGCCTAAATTACGTATGGAAATTTATACTCAGTAGATTCTTAAATACTGTTGAGTAAATTGGATTTCACAGGAAATGTATTTCTCAGGAATTGTTTTTTCTGGACTTCTTTTTCCTTTAAAAAATGATGCTGGCACTCATTAAAAAGAAAAAAAAAAAAAAAAAAAGGCAAATACTACCAAAGGGAATACAGTGAAAAGAGATGTCCTTCCCATTCCTGTCCTCCAGCTCCGTAGTTCCCCTCTTCAGAAGCAATGAGTGTTACCTGTTTCTTCTGGGGTTGTCTATACATCTTGAAGGACATTACATCTTTGTACACAAGGGATAGTATGCTATAAACAAGTAGTCCCCAGCTTACGAGGTATTCAAGTTACCCACGAACTGCGTTTAGGAACATCTTTTTTTTTTTTTTTTGGTGCATCTTATGATTAGTAATGTGTATGTATTAAAATATATTTGTAAGTTTATAAGTAATGTTTCCAACCCCCAAAAGGCAAATAAATATCAGATTTATAAGGATACTGATAATAAAAGGCAATAGTAATGAAAACTAAAAAAAAAACAAAACGAATGAGATTTACCTCAGAGAAGACTTAACGGCAAAATCGTTGGAATGGAACCCTGGTTTAAGACTGGGACTACCTGTATACTGTTTGGTACCTTGCTTTTTTCATAGTTTAGGTTTTTTTTTTTTTTTTGTAGTTTCACACATCAAACTTAACACGTTAAACTTACAGGCTGTGACAGATAAAGAAAAATTTCCTAGACGAAAGGATTCATGGACTTCAGGTAGGGAAATTTCCGATGAGGTTTCTTGGCTTTCTGACAAAAATGTAGAATTTATTGAAAATCTCTGATGTGTTAGTTAACCTTATGGTCAAAAATAATTTGGCAAAATAATTCTGAACCAGGAGCCTTCCTCAGGCTTGGGATTTGTTGTCTGACAGAAACTCGGGAAAGGGGCCTGAGAGGAGTTGATAAACTGTGACATTATCTCCTTTGAAATGAGATTCCAGCCAGTGCACAGCGGGAACTTTAGTTGATTTTATAGGGTGGCAAATAGATTTCCAGTGTATCCTGAAGTTTCTTATAAAGACAAACTGTATTTGAAAATATATCTTTCTGCTTAGGAATATAAGTGCATTTAAGAAGTGAGACACTTGCAGCATTTGTGATTAGTCTCAAATAGCTGTGAAATAATTTGATTAATAAAATTCTAATTTTGTGGAAGTAACTTTAAAATATTGTCTTTGCAGTTAGGAAGGAATAAAGAAACATGTCAAGGGTACTAGTATTTTATAACAAAATTTGAGGTTATAAAGAGGAAGCAAAACTGCTATAGAGAAGAAACACAAAGTTTATCGTAATTATTTTTTTACTTTTGCTAATTTCACCAGTTTATGAAAACTGCTTCTCATTTCTTTTTAGTCTTCCTAAATGCTTTTTGTTTTAAATGTTCATTTAAATTATTTTAAATATTTTATGATAATTTTACACTTATATGACTTCGTTATTTCTATGTGACTCGGTAATTATTTCATCGGTATTTTTTCACAAAATTTGAACTCCTTGCAGTTTAACTACTCTTTTAAAAATCTTTAAGTCCTCCTTTGCTGAGATTCAGATATTTTAGATTGAAAATAGGTTTCTGTTTTCTGACCAATGATAATTCTGACAAATGAAAGTAGCTCAGATACACGTTTTGAATTAAAATGCTTATTAGTACAACATGAGAATGGATGGTAGGTGTTAAAGACGTTATTGTTGTTGAAATCATCATAATAATGAGGCCCAATTAAATGGATCCTTAAAAGAAACCCCAAGAAGCTTCCCCTTCTAGGGCCTGGCTGTAACACTAGTTTTTACAGTCACTGGAGAGAATAGCATTAGGCTCTAACAGTGGAGTAGAAATATGAAAATGGACCAATATGTCACAGTTCTCTCATCCTAGGTTTGTGAGCTTGAGGTAGAAATTTAAAATTTTCAATGTTTTTATCATTCATTTTTAGAGTAATTAATAAAATACATGATATGGGGAAAACAATGGCAATATTGAAATATAATTTTTACTTCTGAATAACGAGTTTGTATGTTTTGCTTACAGAGTTTAGGAACTTTTTAGAATACAGTGGTATTTTCATTGAACAATATCTTTGACATTTTTAGTTTCTTTAAAACATGTTTTGAAATGCCATTGAATGGC